CTGAGTGAAGAAAAAAGCCTCTAGCTTCAGTGGGCTGGGAGCAGGAGCCAGAGCTGAAGCCCAGGGTTGAGGGTCTTTCACCCAGCCCCTAGAGCCTGGCACTTTGAACTCGACTGAAAGCCTCCAAACTGTAAGACAATAAACTCCTGTTTGTTAATGCTATCGCATTTGTGGTATATTCTTGTCAGAGCGGCACTAGGTAACCAGAACAATTTGTTATTGTTATGTGCCGTTGAGTCGGACTTGACTCATAGCGACCCCTCCTTGGGTTTCCGAGGCAGTATCACTACGGAAGTAGATTGCTGCATCTTCCTTTCCAAGGAGTGGCTGGTGGGTTTGAACTGCCAGCCCTGTGGTTAGCAGTCAAGTGCCTTAGGCACTACGCTACCAGAGCTCCTGGTACAATTTGTAGAACAATTTGTAGGTACTTGTATTTTGAGCAAGGAAGTATCTTGGTGATAGGTGAACTTTAGAAACAGTAATCTAGGTAGGTGTAGGATGGAATGGAGATGAGTCCCATTTAGGAAGTTATCCAGTAATTAAGAATTGAGGTAATGAATTAGATGGTGGTACTAAGGAATGAAAGAATGCGACCAGACAAAGAGATTTTAATAAATGGAGGATCATATTATTAAAATCAGCCATTTGTTACTCAGATTTCATTGGGAAATAGAATCTATCAGAAAGTATCATCAGATATTTAAATTTAAAATAATAAGCTTACCCAGGCAATGTTTCTGAAATGATATAATTGTTTAAAATTGCTTTTTTTTTTGCTTTTTTTTAATAGAAAGAAATGCAAGAATTGAAACTAAATAGCAGTAACTCAGCCTCCCCTCATCGTTGGCCCACAGAGAATTATGGACCAGATTCAGTGCCTGATGGATATCAGGGATCACAGACTTTTCATGGGGCTCCACTAACTGGTAAGTTGGCAGTTGGATAACCCCCAATTTTAGTAAAATTCACTGTACCTCTCCCTCTTTTAAATAGATGACTTGTGAAATCACCTTGTCTATGTGTGTTTGTTTATATACATGTTTTTATATGTCTGTTTATGTATATTACTTTAGAAGTTTTATTTGGTATTACTGAGATTTTTATAACTACAAGCAGAAAACTTTGTCTGATCCAGTGAATATAAAGGCTTAAAGGATCCTTTAATATACATCTTGGAGAAGTCAAGACTGAGATGGAATTATTCCTGATAATATAAAAACTGTGAATTTAAGTACTAAGAGATGCCTTATTAAAAGCATAAGCTTGTGGGGAATTATTTTTTTGATATACTGAGGTGGTGGACATTAATAGGAAATATTGTTTATTTCGAAATACCAAAGAAGGAGCCCTGTTGGTGCAATGGTTAAGTACTCGGCTGCTAACTAAAAAATCAGTGGTTGAACCCACTAGCAGTTCCACAGGAGATCCCAGTTTTACATAAAGAAACAGAATCCGAAAAGTTAGCTCCATTATTTAAACAGCTAGTTTTATTGATAGAGCCAGCATTCACCCAGGTTATCAAACTCAAAATCCTTTGCCAGTTTGATACATTCCCCTCCAGGCAATCAGAAATGACAATAAAAATAGTTTTATTTTACTGGAGGTGGATTCCTTAAATGGCAGTTATATGTATTTCCTTCTAATTGTTTTTAACTCAGGAAATATTTACGATGGTAAGGGCTAGTTTCTGATTAGCATATATGAGTTGCATTCCACAAGGACATACTTAAGGCAGCCTCACTGTCCTCTAGTGACCAAAGCAAACCCACTGCTGTTGAATCAGTTCTGATTCACAGTAACTCTTTAGGACAGAATAGAACTGTCCCATAGGGTTTCCACGGCTGTAAATCTTTTTTGTTTTCTTTCTTTTTTTCAAGGCTATAAATATTTTGGAAACAGACTGCCACATCTTTGTCCTGTGGAGCTACTGGTGGTTTTGAACTGCTGACCAAAAGGTCAGCAGTTGAGTGCTTAACCACTGCACCATCAGGTCTCCTTTTCCTCCTATGACAGTGTATTTACAGGAAAAATAATAGGAAAAATCTTTGTAAAGTAAAACTTCTAAAATGTCACATTTTATAGATAAGTATATGAGATGTCAAGAGTTCGTATCTTTCTTATTTAATATAACCCTGTGCATTATATAGAGCCTTGAGTAAAGAGGATAATTAGATTGGCTTACCTTTTCTAGGTCTTTTTTTCAATTCTGTCTGAAATTGTTTGGTACTTCTTGGGTTGTAATTTACATAATTTTTTGTGTACGAGTGTAAAATTTCTTTCTGGTTGTTACACAGACGTACAAATACAACATTCACCTTGTCACATTCTCACAGTGACCTGTGAAGTAAATAGAAATACATCCTCATTTTACATTTGAGAAAAATGAGACCCCCAATGAGTTATTGACAAGGTCACAAAGCAGTTTTGTGGCATGAAAGGAAGAGAGCCCAGCTCTCTTTCTGTGTTCATCATTTTTTTTTTCTTAATGAAAGTAAAACTACCAAGATGGTCCTTATCTTTTTAAAAATAAGATAGTTACGAAACAGAGATTAATGTGCTTGTAAGAAATATTTATAGGTATGGATACTGTAAAGAAAATTAAAAATAACTACCTTGCTATCAATTAGAATCCTGTTAACATTTTGGAGCATTTTTTTCTGGTTCTTTTTCTTTGTTTATATAAAGAATTTTTTATGCGATTTTTATCATGTTGTATATAGATGATTTAGCCTATTTTTAAATATAACCTGAAGTTTTGAGCACTCTTCTATTAAATATTCTTCAAAAGTACTTTTAATGAGCATATGGTATTCAATCATGTGGAAGTGCCACAATTCTGTTCCTTATATGTCATTTCCGGTTTTGGCTATTATAAATAATACTGTGAACACATTCCTCAGATTCTAGAGTACTTTAAAAATTCTTTTATTTGTATTGGGAAAGTGCTTTTCAGAAAAGCTGTAATAATTTATACTCTTACCAAAAATGTCTAATAGTCTCATCTCTATGCTTTATTGCTAGTGTTGACTTTTATGGTTTACAAAAACCTTTGCCTATTTATAAGAAGAAAAATAGTACCCATTTTTCAGTTTCATTTGTTTACAACTAGTTATGCTCATGGGATCGCCAGGAGTTGGAATTGATTTGATGTAAACAACAGTTACACTTAATACTTTATAATATTTCCTGTTTCTTTCCTGAACTATCTATTTGAGTATTTTTTAATAATTTCATAAGAACTCTTGATTCTTTTTTTTTTTTTCCTTTTAATTACTGATAGGAGTCCTAGTCCTTGGTCATTAGTTAAATTTTGGACTCGTAAGATTCTTGGCTCACATTGTTAAGTGCATTCTATGTTCTGTGCCTTTCTCCTTCTCCAGATACTTCCAAAAGATCCATTATCACCAGGCAGTTCCACTCGTTTTCCTAAGTTAAACTTGGGCTTCTTTAGTGATTTTCACTTTTCTTAGTAATGTCATAGAAAGGATAAATAGACCTTTTTAGCCTTTTCTAGGTCTTATTGAGTCCTTATCGGAATCAGCTGTTTGATGTTTCTTGGGTCACAGTTTCTATTTCTTCTTCCACATATAGGCATAAAGTGTACATATAGGCAAAAACATCCTTGTTTTGTTTACTGCAAAATTTGAAATAGATGATGCACATGACTCTTGGTAGTTTAGCTATTGTGATTGTCTTTAATTTTATTTCTGATTTTACTCACATACAACAGACTGCATAAAATAGTTTTGACATCAGTACCAGTGTCGATCATGATACACTTTTTTTTTTCTTTTTTAACAAACCAAGGAATACATTTTGTTACTTGTGAGATCCTTTCCATGAATCTGTAAGGTGATTTTCGACCTAACATCCTCAGTAATAGTTTGAGTTTGTAAAATGCAACTTTGTGAATCTTCATATTTTCAAGGCTCACTTGAAAAACTTGGTTCTTGAGATTGTCAGATGCATTTTAGTTCCTTCACTCCCTATCACTACTGTGTTCCAGTATTTCTAGTGTTGAAGAATATGACTATGCTTTCACATACTAGTCTTTCTTAGAAAATGAACCCATTACTTTCTTCTTGGCTCCCCTTTTAATGCTTGCAAGGCACTTGTTCTTGTTGATCACCATGGTGCTACTCTCCTTTTCTTCATTTGTACTATTTAGCGGTTTTTCCTGGTTTGTCGTTTTAATTTTAATCATCTTTATGATGTATTTTTATGTACAGAAATGAAAAAGTCTTATGTAGTTAAATATTCCTTTGACTTCTGTTGCTTTTGTATTTATAATTCTTGCCTACCTAGACAGTCTTGTTGTAGTATAGACTTTTTAACAGTGTTTTCTTTTCTTTTTTTTGTTTTTTGTTTGTTTTTTTTTTTTTAGTTGCAACTACTGGCCCTTCAGTATATTATAGTCAGTCACCAGCATATAATTCCCAGTATCTTCTCAGACCAGCAGCTAATGTTACTCCCACAAAGGTAACAAAGGAATTGATTTATACATTAATAAATACAGTTGATTCTCGTAATTCGCGGTAGTTATGGTCTATAAAGTCTCCGCGAACACTGAATTAGCAAATACCAACCCACTGCTCCTAGCACAAATACATGATTAGGTTCCTGTGAGCCTCTGGTCACAACATTTTTGTCAGCTGATTAATACATAACCTTTCTTTATGTGTGTTTCTGTTCAAAGACACCTTATTAAACATATATTGTTAATTCATTAACGGCACTATTAACTCATGACTGAACAAAGCTTATCTAACATAATTCTTCTTGAGGCAACATTACAGCCTTCTTTAGCTTAGGAATACTAGACAGCCTCTACCATTATGCTTGGGGGCCACTTGAAACAGCAAAATCATCACCTGAAAACACAAAAAAATGTGGGCTAAATAGCCTTCAAAAAAGATACTTCTTTATATAGTATGAGGGCTGAAAGCAGTGTTGCCTTGTCCAACCTTAGCTGGAAACATGTGCATTGGGTAATTCGAATTTTTTTTGCTGCTCTTTGTGTATCTGCTAATGACTGCAAAAGGGCTACGAGTATTGATTTTGGGGTTACAAACACATTTAGGTGAGTAGGTGAATTTGCAAATACACAATCCGCGAATAATGAGGATCGACTGTATCTCCTTTTTAATTGTTTAGGCTTCCGTCAGAGAAATTAAAGGATTAATACACTATTAGCACTTATATGTCCCTCAAGAATATAAATCTCACATTTATTTCCAGAAATAGAAGTTATACTTTGTCACCTTATTTTTATGTTACGTTAAATGTGAATATTTAGACTATTTTTAAATGAGAGGTCGTGGTTGACCCTTCATTATTCTGTCTTTGCAGAAATAGGACTAGAATGTTTTAGCTTGCTCAACCACTATGTGATAGGTAGTGATAGGCCTGAACTATGTCTCTATAACTTGATTGAGACCCAATATTAAAACAGTAGTGAGGATTTTGAAGACAGAGAGTTTGGATGCCTTTAAACCATGGTTCTGCTTACTGTGACCTTGGGCAAGTTTCTTAATATCTATAAATCAATTGCCTCATATGTAAATTGAGGATAGTAATAATACCATCATTCATTGGGTAGTATTAAAATGAGATAACATATATAAAGGGCTTATAACAGTGCCCAGTTGGCACATTAGTAAATATTCAGTAAATGTTAGTCTTCATCATCGTCATCATCATTACTGTTAACATCATTTGACACATTGTTTAGGAAAGAAGAAGATGTGTATTCTGTGAATTTATTGTAGCAGAAGTAGATATTTTAAGATGCTGCCATTAGTTAGGGCAATTTTCATTATATGGCGAAAAAGACTATAAGCTGTAATCGTCTTTGTAGTTATGTTGCTTTCTTGTAATGATGCATTACATACCCCAGTGATAACTTCTTTACTTAATAATAATCATGTTTGAGGTTTGTGAGAATTGGTTTGTGTCTAGTTATCTATAATTTTATAGAAAATTTACAAACATTTTTAACTTTTTCTTTTCTTTTAGGGTCCAGTTTATGGCATGAATAGGCTTCCACCTCAACAGCACATTTATGCCTATTCTCAGCAGATGCACACACCACCAGTGCAAAGCTCATCTGCTTGTATGTTCTCTCAAGAGATATATGGTCCTCCACTGCGTTTTGAGTCTCCTGCAACTGGAATTTTGTCACCCAGGAGTGATGATTATTTTAATTACAATGTTCAGCAAACAAGCACAAATCCACCTTTGCCAGAACCAGGTTATTTCACAAAACCTCCAGTTCCAGCTCATGCTTCAAGACCTGCAGAATCAAAGGTTTTAGAATTTGGAAAATCTAATTTTGTTCAGCCTCTTCCAGGTGAAGGAATAAGGCAATCTTTGACAACACCAGCACATACAACACAGCCAACTCCTTTTAAATTTAACTCAAATTTCAAATCAAATGATGGTGACTTCACGTTTTCCTCCCCGCAGGTTGTGACACAGCCCTCATCTACAGCTTACAATAACAGTGAAAGCCTATTAGGGCTCCTAACTTCAGATAAACCTTTACAAGGAGATGGCTGTAGTGGACCCAAACCTATTTCTGGGCAAACCATTGGACCTCGAAATACATTCAATTTTGGAAGCAAAAATGTGTCTGGAATTTCATTTACAGAAAACATGGGGCCAAATCAGCAAAAGAATTCTGGTTTTTGTCGAAGTGATGATATGTTTACTTTCCATGGTCCAGGTAAATCAGTATTTGGAACACCTGCTCCAGAGTTAGCAACTAAGAATCATGAAACAGATGGAGGAAGTGCCCATGGGGATGAAGATGATGATGGCCCTCACTTTGAGCCTGTTGTACCTCTCCCCGATAAGATTGAAGTAAAAACTGGTGAGGAAGATGAGGAAGAGTTCTTTTGCAATCGTGCAAAACTGTTCCGTTTTGATACAGAATCCAAAGAATGGAAGGAACGGGGCATCGGCAATGTAAAAATACTAAGGCATAAAACATCTGGTAAAATTCGCCTTCTAATGAGACGAGAGCAGGTATTGAAGATTTGTGCAAATCATTACATAAGCCCAGAAATGAAACTGACACCAAATGCTGGATCAGACAGATCGTTTGTATGGCATGCTCTTGATTATGCAGATGAGTCACCAAAACCAGAACAACTTGCTATAAGATTCAAAACTCCTGAGGAAGCAGCACTTTTTAAGTGCAAGTTTGAAGAGGCCCAGAGCATTTTAAAAGCTTTGGGAACAAATATAGCCACATCAACAAACCAGACTATCAGGATTGTAAAAGAACCCACAAGTCGTGATAACAAGGATATTGGCAAATCTGATACTGTAAATTTGAATTTTGAATTTCAGGTTGCAAAGAAAGAGGGATCTTGGTGGCATTGTAACAGCTGTTCACTGAAGAACACTGCCACTGCTAAGAGATGTGTATCATGCCAAAATCTAAACCCGAGTAATAAAGAGCTCCTTGGCCCACCATTGGTTGAAACTGTTCCTGCTCTTAAAACTGGCCAAGAAGATACTCAAGATAGATTTGCATTGATGACTCCAAAGAAAGAAGGTCACTGGGATTGTAGTACTTGTTTAGTAAGAAATGAACCTACTGCATCTAGGTGTGTCGCATGCCAGAATACAAAACCTAGTAGCAAAAGTGGCTCTTCATTTATCCAGCCATCTTCCTTTAAATTTGGTGAGGGAGATCTGCCTAAATCTGTTAGCAGTGATTTCAGATCGGTTTTTTCTACTAAGGAAGGACAGTGGGATTGTAGTTTATGCTTTGTACTAAATGAAGGAAGCTCTACAAAATGTGTTGCTTGTCAGAATCCAAGAAAACAGAACCAACCTAGTTATGTTCCAGCGCCTGCCTCTTTTAAGTTTGGTACTTCAGAGACAAGCAAGGCTCCAAAGAGTGGTTTTGCAGACATGTTTGCTAAGAAAGAAGGACAGTGGGATTGTAGTGTATGCTTAGTACAAAATGAAGCAAATGCTACAAAATGTATTGCTTGTCAGAATCCAAGCCAACAGAATACGTGTACTTCTGCTGTTCCAGCACCTTCCTCTTTTAAGTTTGGTATTTCAGAGACAAGCAAGGCCCCAAAGAGTGGATTTGAGGGAGTGTTCACCAAGAAGGAAGGACAGTGGGATTGCAGTGTATGCTTAGTACGAAATGAAGCAAGTGCTACAAAATGTGTTGCTTGCCAGAATCCAAGTCAACAGAATCCATATATTTCTGCTGCTCTAGCACCTTCCTCTTTTAAATTTGGTACTTCAGAGACAAGCAAGGCCCCAAAGAGTGGATTTGATGGAGTATTTACTAAGAAGGAAGGACAGTGGGATTGCAGTGTATGCTTAGTACGAAATGAAGCAAATGCTACCAAATGTATTGCTTGTCAGAATCCAAGTAAACAGAATCAGCCTACTTCTGCTGTTCCAGCACCTTCCTCTTCAGAGACAAGCAAGGCACCAAAGAGTGGATTTGAAGGAATGCTCACCAAGAAGGAAGGACAGTGGGATTGTAGTGTTTGTTCTGTACAAAATGAGAATTCTTCCTTAAAATGTGTGGCTTGTGATACCGCTAAACCAACTCATAAACCTGTTGCAGAAACTTCTTCAGCTTTCACATTGGGCACAAAAACTAAGTTAAATGACTCATCTGGAAGTCAGGTGGGAACAGGATTTAAAACTGACTTTTCAGAAAAAGGTTTTAAATTTGGCAATACAGAGCAGGGTTTTAAATTTGGACATGTGGATCAAGAAAATATACCTTCATTTACATTTCAGGGTTCTAATACAGAATCTAAGTCAACAAAAGAAGGATTTAATTTTTCCATCCCTGTGTCTGCTGATGGATTTAAATTTGGCATTCAGGAGCCAGGAAATCAAGAGAAAAAGAATGAAAATGAGAAGCCCTTTGAAAATGACACTGGTTTCCAGACACAAGATGTTAGTAGCCAGCAGAATGGAAGTGGTTTGATTTTTGGTCAGACTAGTAGCACTTTTACCTTTGCAGATCTTGCAAAATCAACTTCAGGGGAAGGATTTCAATTTGGTAAAAAAGATCCTAATTTTAAAGGATTTTCAGGTGCTGGAGAAAAATTATTTTCATCACAGAGTGGTAAAATGGTTGATAAAGCCAGTGCTTCTACTGACCTTGAGAAAGATGATGATGCATATAAGACTGAGGACATTGATGATATCCATTTTGAACCAGTAGTTCAGATGCCTGAAAAAGTGGAACTTGTAACAGGGGAAGAAGATGAAAAAGTTCTTTACTCACAGCGGGTAAAATTATTTAGATTTGATGCTGAGATAAGTCAGTGGAAAGAAAGAGGCTTGGGGAACTTAAAGATTCTCAAAAATGAAGTTAATGGCAAACTAAGAATGCTGATGCGAAGAGAACAAGTACTGAAAGTATGTGCTAATCATTGGATAACCACTACAATGAACCTGAAGCCTCTGTCTGGTTCAGATAGAGCATGGATGTGGCTAGCTAGTGATTTTTCTGATGGTGATGCCAAACTAGAACAACTGGCAGCAAAATTTAAAACACCAGAGTTGGCTGAAGAATTCAAGCAGAAATTTGAAGAATGTCAGAGACTTCTATTAGATATACCACTTCAAACTCCCCATAAACTAGTTGATACTGGTCGAGCTGCTAAGTTAATACAGAGAGCTGAAGAAATGAAGAGTGGACTGAAAGATTTCAAAACGTTCTTGACAAATGAGCAAATAAAAGTCACTGATGAAGAAAGTACCAGTTCAGATTCAGCTGCTGTCAGTGCTTCAGACACAATAGTTAAGCCAAATCCTGAAAATACTGGGCCCACATTAGAGTGGGATAACTATGATTTAAAAGAAGATGCTTTGGATGATAGTGTAAGTAGTAGCTCAGTACATGCTTCTCCACTGGCAAGTAGCCCTGTAAGAAAAAATCTCTTCCGCTTTGGTGAGTCAACAACAGGATTTAACTTCAGTTTCAAATCTGCTTTGAGTCCATCTAAGTCTCCTGCCAAGTTGAATCAGAGTGGGGCTTCAGTTGGCACAGATGAAGAATCTGATGTTACTCAAGAAGAAGAGAGAGATGGGCAGTACTTTGAACCTGTTGTACCTTTACCTGATCTAGTTGAAGTATCCAGTGGTGAGGAAAATGAACAAGTTGTTTTTAGTCACAGAGCAAAACTCTATCGGTATGATAAAGATGTTGGTCAGTGGAAAGAAAGGGGTATTGGTGACATAAAGATCTTACAGAATTATGATAACAAGCAAGTTCGCATAGTGATGAGAAGAGACCAAGTATTAAAACTTTGTGCCAATCACAGAATAACTCCAGATATGACTTTGCAAAATATGAAAGGGACAGAAAGAGTATGGGTGTGGACTGCATGTGATTTTGCAGATGGAGAAAGAAAAATAGAACATTTAGCTGTGCGTTTTAAACTGCAAGATGTTGCAGACTCATTTAAGAACATTTTTGATGAAGCAAAAATAGCCCAAGAAAAAGATTGTTTGATAACACCTCATGTTTCTCGATCGACCACTCCCAGAGAATCACCATGTGGCAAAATTGCTGTAGCTGTATTAGAAGAAACCACAAGAGAGAGGACAGATTTAATTCAGGGTGATGATGTAGCAGATCCAACTTCAGAAGTTGGAGAAGTACCTAGCACGTCAGAAACTACAACAAAAGCAGTGGTTTCTCCTCCAAAGTTTGTCTTTGGCTCAGAGTCAGTTAAAAGCATTTTTAATAGTGAAAAATCAAAGCCATTTGCATTTGGCAACAGTTCAGCCACTGGGTCTTTGTTTGGATTTAGTTTTAATGCACCTTTGAAAAATAACACTAGTGAAACTAGTTCAGTACAGAGTGGATCTGAAAGAAAAGTGGAATCTAACAAATGTGAACTGTCAAAGAATTCTGATATCAAACAGTCTTCAGATGTCAAAACCAGAAATCTCCTTACTTCCCCTCCAAAGGAAGAGTCCTCAACTAAATACATATTTAAAACACCAGAAAAAGGTAAGTGCTTAGTCTCAGAATTAAACAGAAGTTCTCTTTCTTTTAAGGTTTATCTTTACAGGATATTAATGTTTTAGTTAAAGTTGGGCCATAAACAGTGCATTGTACATTGTGAACACCTAAAAAAGAGTAGATTTTTTTCTCCCTCAATAAATTCACCAGTGAGCGTTGAAATAGCAATAGATTTCAGCAATCGGAAGATACTTATATCATGCCTAGGACAGAGCACTAACCTATTATAGTATGAAAGCTTAATGACTCATGAGACTTTAACCATCAGCATCAATTTAAGTCTTTTTTAGGTGTAGGAAGTTTCATTCTTTATTTTTTTGTCACTCAAAGAACATGTGGGCTGAAATGTTCACATTTCATGTAAGTTAGTATTGCTATCATTTATTAAGTGAGCAAAGAATGAAACCACTGGGATAGTGAGTATGTGAGACAATCAGATTGGTATAAATTGAGATACTCTGGGTTTTTATATTTTAAAATCATAATTTTGTTTCCCAAAATGTTAAAAAATTGAATGCTCTTTATTTTCTAGGATTTAATTTTAGTCTTTTTAAATCTAACCCAATGGCTTTTTGGACCAGCACCCCACCCTCCCAGCCTGAGAGCAAAGGTATAGAGCTAGCATTCTCAGTATAACATGACACCTGTTTTATTGGCAGCTGGTAGTCTTTAGCAAAGTGGCTGTGGCTGTATGAAATTAAGTACTTAACACTACATCATGCATGTAAGAGAATGCCAGTTTAAGCTAAGTACCTTTTGACTGGTAGTGTTACACTGTTTAATGCTGTTTTTTTTTTTTTTTTAAATGTACTTAGATGTCATATTTTTCACTATCAAACAGCATTGTTTTGAGTTACAGCAAGGTGTTCCTCACCTAGTGCTTTGTGTTTCAGTGGTCTATTATTTTCAGCCCTGGTTAATGAAAGCATATATTTTACCTAACCTTTATCTTTTGCCACTAATGTTTGCCAGTGTCCAAACATGATGGCAGCAGTGTGTATTCAATCATGGGACAACAAAGTGTCACTTTAAGGCTATATTTTTTGGGGAGTAATTAGAAAAAATACTGTAAGTGAAAATAGACTCCATTTTTAACAAACACCAGTATATACTTGATATTTTATATATGTAGCATATACAATCGTACAAATAGATGTTGGTACTGAAGTAGAGTAATAGAAAGTGGGATCTGTTGGAGATCCTCAAGAGCAAGATTAGGAAAATGAGAACTCACTATTAGTGTCCACATCTTGAATATCTCAACTGTATTATATGTTGTCAAACAGGTATGGTGATATAGTCCATGATTTCTGGGACTTTCAGTTTTAAAGTATACCAGTCATATTACTAGCTACCAAAAAACTAAACTTGCTGGGGTCAAGTAGATTCCACCTCCTAGCCCTATAGGTCAGAGTAGACCTGCTCTATGGGGTTTCCAAGGTTGTAATCTTTCTGGATGCAGACTGCCACATCTTTCTCCTATGAAGTGGCTAGTGGGTTTGACCCCCAACCTTTTGGTTTTAAGCAGATTTATGCTCAAACTCCCTGCTGTTGAGTTGATTTTACCCATAGTGAGGGTTTCCAAAGTGGTATCTCTACGGAAGTAGATTTGCCCAGTCTTCCCTCCGAAGAGTGGCTGGTGGGTTTGAACTGCTAGCCTTCTGGTTAGCAATCAAATGCCTTAGGCACTACACCACCAGAGCTCCTGATTCTATGTTCAGTGAGGTTTTTTTGTAGAACGCTAAATAAGACTGCTAATTCTAGTCAAACGCGCTTAATGACTGTGCCAACAAGGCTCTTTATTACTAGCTATCACAGTTCTTAACCTTTTTTTCTTAAGGATGCAATCTTCCAGAAATGTAAGTGAAAAGCATAGGCTTTACAGAAAAGTGGGCATATATTTGCACACTGCACTAGATTAGGAATCCCAGGCCAAAGAACAAGTATACCAATATCTATTACAGGACAAGGAGATGTTTTGTTTCAAGACTGAGAATATCATAGTCTCAAAGGACCTTAGAGATAAAAGAAGATTTTAGATATGAGAAAATTGGGGCCCAGAGAGGCTATTGTCACTAGCCAATAGGAGAACTCTGGAACCAGAATCTGTATCTTAAAATGTTCCTTCACTGTCATTGGCTAGGAGTTGATACTAAGCTTTTGTTTGTAATGAAGGATAGTGAGAGCTGGTTTGACATAGTAAGAGAAAGGCTCTAGTTCTCTGGAGCAGTGCTATCCAACAGGAATATAATGTGAGCTATGTATGCAAGTTAAAATTTGTATTAGCTACATTAAAAAATGTAAAGAAAGGCTGAAAAAAGGTGACTTTTTCCTCCCTTAAGTCACAATTCCTACTGACCAGACAATGCCCACATGCTAAGAATGCCTGCCTTAGTGAAAGCCAGCCTTTCACTTTGAAATTAATTTTAATATATTTTGTTTGTCTACTGTATTCAAATACTATTTCAGCTTCTAATCAGTATGAAAGATTACTAATATGATATTTTACATTGTCTTGTTTTCAAAATCCAGTTTGTATTTGATACAGTATAGCTTAATTTGTACTAGCTACATTTCAAGTCAGTAGCCTCATGGAGCCAGAGGCTACCATATTGGAAAGCATAGCTCTAGAGAGTCTTTTTCCCTAGCCCCTGATGGTACACAATATGCTTTGTGACTCACTGACTTTATCAATTTTTTTAGCCAGAAATACTTTATAGACCAGAACAAATTGTATACAGAATTCTTTTATAAGTTAGTTTTTTGGCCATAGAAATTATTTCAGATTCCTACAGTATTAGTCAGAGGATAACACTTTTTCTTAAATTTATCTAGCATTGTGCTTGGATATATGCATAATTGGATGCAACCCTAATTATCTATTTTCCTTGGCAATTGTTAACTTTCTTTTTAGGAACTAATCAAAGTTGGCTTTGGATAAGTTTCATATTATACTAATATTTGCTTTTGATTTCATTAAGACTTTTTTCAATTGTTGTAAATGCATGGGTATTTTACTAAACTGTTGTTTATCATGCCAGAAGTGGTTATGGTAGCACAGTACTTTAATATGTTTTTTAATTATAGAAATAATAGTATTTTTCCTCCAATTATTAGTAAATAAAAGCCACATTTTATTATTTTAAATATGCTCTGTGTTCAGTAAGGTTTTTGGTAGAACACTATATAAGGCTGCTAATTCTAATTTGTGATTATTATAGAACTCTGTCCAACATAAGTTTGTGGGTTTTTTTTTAATGCTATTTTGATCTTTAAAACAGTTTCATGGCTTTTATTTTAAGTTAGAATGTTGATGTTATTACTTATATAAAGCTACATCTTTATCAATTTTTGACTTTTATTACAGCAAAAGAGAAGGAAAAACCAGAAGATCCTCCTTCAGATGATGAAATTCTCATTGTATATGAGCTAACTCCAACCCCTGAGCAAAGAGCCCTTGCAAGCAAACTTAAACTTCCTCCAACTTTCTTCTGCTATAAGAATAAACCAGATTATGTTAGTGAGGAAGAAGAGGATGGTAAATCTTTTGTGATTTTAAAAGCTCTCTGGGCACATGCTAATTTCAGTAATTGAGGGTATAGTTGAATCATTTTAACCCATTTTTTAGAACTTAATCACTGCTGTCGGTGTGGGTAGATATTTACCGTAAATGTGTGTGTAAATAGTCAAAGAATGTAATGATCAAAAGAACTATGTTCAGCAAGAATTTATTGGGTAGTTAACCATGTGTAGAACAGGTGTTTTAGGAGAACTGAAAGTAATCATCATTTTTCTGGAGTCTTAGGAGGGGTGAGAGAAGCAGGCACAGGTCACATTATAGAAAACTTTGTATGCCATGCCAGTTTTTTTTTAAAAGTGGAGTTACATGATTAAGAATAGTTCAGAAGCATCACTTAGGCAGTGGTATAGAGGATTGGGTTGTGGGGACAGGGAGATAAGATGAGCTCAATCAATGTTAAAACAGCTCAAACACAAAGGGAGCCTAAACTGCTCTAAAGTAGGAAGAGGCAAAAGGAATATAAAAACTCAAACTCACTGCCATCTAGTCGATTCAAACTCACACTGACCCCCATTGGGTTTCCGAGGCAGTTAATCTTTACAGAAGTAGATTGCCTCATCATCTTACTATGGAGCCAACCTTCTAGTTAGCAGTCAGATGCTTAGGCACTATGTCACCTAAAGAAGGAAGTGGCAAAAGGGATATAGCATTGGCAAAATTTGTTGCTGTGTGGATGTGAGAAGTAAGGGAAAGGGTGAAGTTGAAAATAATTCTTAGGTTTCTGGCTAGGAAATCCCAGATACTTAGAGAAATTTTTTATTTAATATAATCAATTATACTTTAAGATGAAGATTTTGAAACAGCTGTCAAGAAACTGAATGGAAAATTATATTTGGATGACGCAGAAAAACGCAAGCCATTGGAAGAAAATCAAGCAGGTACGTTAAACTAAGATTACTAATTGTAATTTTTTTTAAAAAATCTATTAAAAAGGAACTTTTTTTTTTTTTTTTTTTTTAATTGTGATTTGGGTGAAGATTTACAGAGCAAATTCACTTTCCATACAGCAATTCACGTATACTTTGTCTTATGTCATTGACCACAGTTTACCACAATGCAACAGCTCCCCACCCACTTCCTCCCCATAGTTACCACTTTGCAGTGTCCATCCCTCCATACTCTCCTGCCCCCTGAGCTGTCTCCCTGTGCATAAGCAGCCCTTCCTTCTCCCATGATTGTTCTCTCCAGGGTGTGTGTCTACTTGAGGTAAATGTTTAACTCACATGCCTGTACTTTGTTTGGCTGGAAACCATAGGTGTGGGTTCAATTCCAGACCTGAAAGGCAGCTAGGGGCCATAGTTTCAGTGGTTCCATCAGGCTCTATTGGACCAGCAAACCTGGTCCCAACCATCTAAAAAGGAACTTCTTAATCTGATTATTTCTCTACTTACCAGTTTACTTACATAGTATGCCTGTGGCTATTTAAAATACTTAAAAATGATATTAGGTGAAAAACATTGTTCTCCGGATGGTCTTTGTTCCCCATTTGCATTCACTGATCTTGTTATCTGGGTCTGTAATTTGGAGATTACATTGAGGACCATTGTTGTAGAGTAGTTGGTCCTCATCTGTTTTTCTCTCAACTTTCTTTTCCATGTGTTATATTGATTTTTCAGATAACGAGAAAGAATGTGTTATTGTTTGGGAAAAGAAACCAACACTTGAAGAGAAGGCAAAAGCAGATACATTAAAGCTTCCACCTACTTTTTTTTGTGGAGTATGCAGTGATGTTGATGAAGACAATGGAAACGGGGAAGATTTTCAATCAGAGGTTCAAAAAGTTCAGGAAGCTCAAGTAAGAATATCTCCATTGTTTTCCTTCTGTGTAATTGTCTTTGTTGATGTTATAGACTTTAGAATGTTCTTACCATATGGTAATAATGATTAGTGGCTTACAAAGAGATTAGATCCCCCTAGGTCAGGGTCTACCAATCAGCTGTGACCAAAGAAGATGGAATCTTGTTCTACAAACAGGATTATAAAGGCTCATCTTTTGCATGTTAGGTTTTGGGGAATAGAGGGTTGTGTGGACTGTGTACATATCCTTAAAATGTCTATTACGATATCAAAAAAAGGTATTAACTAGGCCATTTTTAGTGCAAATTAACTTATTCTAGAATTTTTCCTTTTCAGTTTTAAATTTGTATTTGGTCCTTCTTTATACCTTCAGTTTCTTTGCTAGAACTATCTGTTCATTCAAGAGTGTTTGCCCATACTATTTGGAGGATTGTTAATTGAAGTCCTGTTTTGATAATTCCAACAATAGGGTCATTTTGCTATTCCCCTGACCAACATTCCTGGTCCTTTTGATATAGAGGGCAGGTTTTTTGGGGACCTTTTCTGACTGTATTACTGGCAGTTGGAGCTTTTTGGATTCCTCTAACACCAAGGCAAGGAACTCTGGTGGCACAGTGGTTAAAAGCATTTGGCTTTTAACTGAAAAGTCGGCAGTTCGGCAGTTTGAACCCACCAGTTTGAATCCACCAGCTACTCCACAAGAGAAAGATGAGGCAATCTAGTTCTGTAAAGATTTATAGCCTTGGAAACCCTAGGGGGCAGTTCTACTCTGTCCTTTAGAGTAGCTATGAGTCAGAATCGACTTGATGGCAATGGGTTTGGTTTTGGTTTTTACCACCCAGGCAAAAATATGTACACAGTGTTCTCACTACCAGATTATCTCTAGAGTTTTGAGATCTTTAGTCGATTTTCTTTTATCTACCTTTCATAGTTTTCTGATAGTTGCTTTTTTTTGTTTCCGTTCAAGTGTTTAATGGAGTGTGTCCTCAATTTCTTTTTAAATATGGTATATAGAACTTTTTGGAAATCAGCATTTAATGACTTCTGCTTTGCAGAAATCCCAGAGTGAGGAACCGACTGAAGTGACTAGCACAACTGACAGTGTTTGTACAGGTGGGACTGAGGTGACCTTTCCATTTTTCTGTAAATCTGAAGAACCTGATTCTATGACCAAATCTGTTAGTTCAGCACCTGTTTCTTCTGGAACTGAGGACAAACCTGTGGATTTGTCTACTAAAAAGGAAAATGATGCAGATTCTACAAGCCAAGGTAAAACTTGATACATGTTTACATAAACCTTGTAGGCATGCATTTCATAAGGAATACCTATATATTTGAGAAGATAACTTTCAAAGGCAGAGCTAAAAAAAAATTCCTTTCTTAAAACAACTTTTTAAGGGGGTTAGACATTAGTGATAATAATCAGAAAATCCTACTACCTTGCTCTCAATGATCATAAACCTGTATTTGTATTAAGAGTTGTGGTTACTAGGGAGTATATATAAAGCATTGTGGCTATGACCTATCTATCTGATCATAAAGGAATAGTGGTTTGCTTCCATGGAAAATTTCCTTGTGGTAGTATTTTCATTTGAATATTATCTAATTGTATTATGACACAGACATACTCAGAATTTTGTTAAGTGTAACATGAAGTAAATTTAGAAATAGTATAGTAGGTGGTACAGATTGTTTATGGTGTTACCTAAATGCCTCTCCTTTTCATTATCAGTCTCAGATTGCTAGTAAATAAAAAGTAGTTAGTTAGAGAAAGTAATGTTTGGTATGCCTTCCCCCCTACATTTTTTTTAATCTCAGTTGGCTTTTGGGAGTCTCCTTAAATTACATGGCTTTATACATGTACACAGGAGCCCTGGTGGCACAGTGTTTAAGCACTCAGCTGCAAACTTACCAGCAGCTCTCTGAGAGAAGAGACCTGGTAATCTTATCCATAAAGGGTATAGTCTAGGAAACCCTATGGAGCAGTTCATTTCTATCATATAGGGTTGCAAGGAGTTGGAATCAAGTTGAGGGCACACAATAGAATGTGTGTGCTCTGGCGATACTATCTTTTTCAGATGTAAGCCTGAAAAATCACAAATAATGTTTTTATAGGTACGTTAGAGACTGTTAATACACCAGGAGAGGAAAGGATGCCAAACCCCAGCCCCTCTACATTTTCAGAAGAGGAAAAGGAAGGCATAGAACTTTCAGGTATCATGCAGCTTCACACTAGCAGAATTAATGTAAGACTACAAAATTCCAGATGACATGTTACCATACTTCCGTTAGATAAGACATTTTGTTTTATCAGTTTAATACAGAAGACAACTTTTATGCTGAATACCTGGAATTACAGTGTTTCCTGAAATCCTGCCTTTGGCTGAATGTTTTAGATTATAACCCGTTACTGTCAAGTCAATTCTGACTCATAGTTACCCTATAGAACAGAGTAGAATTGCACCCCCTCCCCCCAAAGGCCTTCCAAAGCTGTAATTCTTACAGAAGCAAACTGCCACCTCTTTCTCCCATTGAGTGGCTGGTAGATTTGCGCCACCTACCTTTCTGTGAACAGCCGAGGACTTTACCACCATACCACCACAGCTCCTTTTCCGATTATAGAAGACCCTTTAAAGTAGAAACTGATTGTCTATCTCACTTAGAATAGATATTTCTGCATCCCATCTTTAAAAATGGTTTTATGTCCTGCTTTTGATGTAGTATTCATGGGGAATAGCTTCGGTAAGCTTAACAGTACTGAAGGTCAAAATTAGAAATATTCTGTAACTTTTCTTTAAAGAAGTAACCCAAAGATAATTTCTTTTCTTTGTTGGTAATGAATAAGGTCCTACCTGCATTCCCTGGGTCCTGGGTATAATAATGATGTTTAGTAAATATACTGAAATGTTGCTTTCTTTTGCCAGTAGAAAGCAAAACTGTTACATTTGGGTTTGGAAGTAGCACAACACTATCATTTGCGGACTTGGCTTCCAGTGCACCTGGGGATTTTGCTTTTGGTAGTAAAGGTAAGGTCAAGAGGGGAGATTTTTATAATTATGTTAAAGAATCAAGCACAACAGAAAGACCTAGTCCTTTGCCATAGTGTTATAAATTTGGAGATTTCATCCACCTACCCCACTTCTGTATTTTAATGTTTTAATAAGGAAGGGCTTTGGTAGTTTATTATTTTCAACATGTATTAATATAACTAAGAGTTTTCTCATCTCATAGTTTACTGTAAGTCATACTGATAGTTACCCCAGGAAGAAGCTGAGGTAGAGAAGTTTTAAACGTAGTTAGGCCTCTGTGGTAAATTTGGAACTTGAAGATGTGACCTTTTTGAGAGTATTTTGAAAGTTATTTTTTTTTTTAATTATTTTTCTAAGGTGGTAAAAAGGTTTCATGAAATCAACTACTTTGGAGAACTGAGCTAAGTTTTTGGCATTTTGAGGTATACTGTATTATTTTTAAGAACACATTTCATTTCTGAAAGCTGTATTATGAAGTTTACTTTAGGCAGAGACTTTCTTTGTATCTCCAAGCATAAGCAGTACTAAGTTTGCAAGTACGTGCTCAATAATTGAGGTAAATGTGCCATTTATATAATTTTAAACGGTTTTACTAGAAGTAAGTATATGTGGCATTTTTGGAAATAAGATGCACTGGTAAAGTAATCTAAGGATGAATAAAAGCCTTAAAAAAAATGATACCACTATTTAAATATCCTAATTTATTTATCAGATAAAAACTTTCAGTGGGCAAATACTGGAGCAGATGTGTTTGGAACACAGTCAACAAGTAAAGTTGGTGAAGATGAAGATGGGAGTGATGAAGAAGTAGTTCATAATGAAGATATCCATTTTGAACCAATAGTGTCATTACCAGAGGTAAATATTATAAAATGAAAAATCTTAATAATAACTAATTTCTCATTTTACATTTAAAACTGACACAGGATTGATTTGTAGAGCTAATTTTGCATATCTGTCTGAATATTTACAATTTGAAAGGGAAGCTCAGTGTTAATTAGAAATCCACTCTTTTTTAATAAAAATAAATTTTTTTTATGTTTACATATACATATTGCTTGATAAACTCTATGTGAATTTATTGTCTACAATTAAAATAATTCTTTCAGGTATTGTCCAAATAGCATGTTTATTTTCATACCACTATTCTATGGGCAAAAAAATTTAAACTTGTACTTGCCAAAGTCCTTTCAATAAAAAGTGAGAGTTATAGTTTCTAGATAAGAATGTTGTTTTAAGCAATTACTTTGTAGGTTTTGAACAGTAATCAGTAGCTAATATTTCTCTTCAACAAAAAACACTTTTTGAAAACTTTTCTTTAAAGGAAGGCATTTAATTTCTAAAAGGAAGAAGAATACTACATAAGAGAGAAATTATATTTAGTGACAAATTAGGTCTTCACTGCTTCATCCAAATCATATATGCTCCTGGCCCTGGGATATTACCATTTATCTTGATATGAAAGTGTGAATTCATTAATGTGATCAGAATTTTTATCTTTGGAATTTGTTATAGATGGTAGATTTTAGATCATTTCCTCTACTATTTCAGGTAGAAGTAAAATCAGGAGAAGAAGATGAAGAGATTTTATTTAAAGAGAGAGCTAAACTTTACAGATGGGATCGAGATGTCAGTCAGTGGAAAGAGCGTGGTGTTGGAGACATAAAGATTCTTTGGCACACAATGAAGAATTATTACCGGATCTTAATGAGAAGAGACCAGGTCTTTAAAGTGTGTGCAAACCATGTTATTACTAAAACAATGGAATTAAAACCCTTAAGTGTTTCAAATAATGCTTTAGTTTGGACTGCCTCAGATTATGCTGGTAAGTTTCAATACTTAGATTCTACTTTTAATTTTGTAGACTTTTTAAACATCGTATCAATATATTAAATAATTTATAAGTTACTTTTAAAATGAAGACTGCATTTTTTTTTTCTTCAATAGATGGAGAAGCAAAAGTGGAACAGCTTGCAGTGAGATTTAAAACTAAAGAAATGGCTGATTGTTTTAAGAAAAAATTTGAAGAATGTCAACAGAATTTATTGAAACTCCAGAAAGTACAGGTATCACTTACAGCAGAATTATCAAAGGAAACAAATCCTGTGGTGTTTTTTGATGTTTGTGCAGACAGTGAACCTCTAGGACGTATAACCATGGAATTATTTTCGAACATTGTTCCTCAAACTGCTGAGAACTTCAGAGCACTGTGCACTGGAGAGCTGGGCTTTGGTTTCAAGAACTCTATTTTCCACAGAGTAATTCCAGATTTTGTTTGCCAAGTAAGTATTAACTGTATATTACAGTTAAAGGGTAGAAGAATATACCATTTAAATTTGGGAGATTTGAGTAGTTCTCCTTGCTCTCATCCTGTAGTTTTTGTAACATTTCTTTAATGCTTCCACACTTAAGTTGTTGTTACCACCACTCCCACCACTCTCCCCAATAGCTCTGAACTTAAAATCATTTACATTTCTGACATCTCTTGGAACCTGTTAAGAAATTGAGGGTGAGATAAAGACCTTTTCATTTTTAGCTTCTTTTAAAAATGGGTAATTCTTAAGTTTTCAAGCTACATTCTCAAGAAAGTTAGGTTTTTAGGATTATCCTATAATGATGAGTTGTGTGTGTTTTATTCAGAAATTCTATTAAATTGTTTTTTTGTTTTTTTTTCAGGGGGGAGATATCACCAAACATGATGGAACAGGAGGACGGTCCATTTATGGCGATAACTTTGAAGATGAAAATTTCAATGTGAAACATACTGGTCCTGGTTTACTATCGATGGCCAATCGGGGCCGGGATACTAATAATTCTCAATTTTTCATAACACTGAAAAAGGCAGAGCATTTGGACTTTAAGCATGTAGTATTTGGGTTTGTTAAGGACGGCATGGATACTGTGAAAAAGATTGAATCGTTTGGTTCTCCTAAAGGGTTGGTTAGTCGAAGAATTAGTATCACAGAATGTGGACAGATATAAAATCATTGTTTTTCATAGTAAATTTTATCTGCATCAACAGTTAAATTGAAGCTTAGCTGTTACAGACAATACGGTAATTATGTTCAGCTTTTGAAAATGGACGTTTCCAATGTATAAATGTAAAATTGCAGCTTATAGCTGTTGTCATTTTTTAATGTGTTATAATTGACCTTGCATGGTGTGAAATAAAAGTTTAAACACTGGTGTATTTCAGGTGTACTTGTGTTTATGTACTCCTGACATGTTTGTATTAAAAATGGAATACTAATCTTGTTAAAAGCAATAGACCACCTCATACTATTGAAGGAATATGATATATGCAATTTAATTTAAATTCAAGATATTTGGACTTTCTGCATGAATATACTTACCTTTTGAATAAAGGGACCATAACTCGGATTTTTATTTTTAATTTTTTTTAGATTTGAAATATATTGGTAATCTTAACTATTTGTGTGCTCGTTGTGCAGAGAGACTCATTTATGAATGGGTAGAGCCACAGCGGCTAGAGACTTAACCAAAGTGCTCTTCTACAATCCTTGCACCTCCTGTATAGTTAGAAATTAACTTTTAAATAGGATATGTATTCTTGAAATTATATGTAGCTTCCTGTGCCCTTTCAAAGGCATTAATTTTTACATTTTAGACAAGCTATTTCCTTTTCTGTCATCTGTCTCTACTACCTCAGAAACTGCAGCTTGGTTCTGACAATAGAACTTGAATTTTTTTTCCTTGCAGTTATTGTGATAAAATATGAATATTTTTAAAAGGTATAGACCTTTTAAATGTTGTTTTTAACCATGTTTTTAACCATGTTGTTTGGTTAAAGATTTGCTTTATACTAGATTGTTGCAGTAACTTTTTCTGGTGAATTTTGTAGCAGAAATAAAGTGACATTGATAACAGCCATGACATTTAAAAAATTCATTACTTGTGCATCTAGTTGTCTGTTCACCCATTCTAGTACCAGGCATAAAGTAATGAGGACAATTAAAGCAGTAAATTCAAAGTTGCCATGTAATTTCTAGAGCTATCAAAAAAGTGACTCTTCTCAAATCTGATACACACTGAAACATATTTGCAAATGCTAGGAAATGGCTAGGAGCTCTAGCAGCGTAGTGCTTAAGGCACTTGACTGCTAACCAGAATGGTGGTTCAAACCCACCAGCCACTTCTCATAAGGAAGGTTGGGCAATCTACTTCAGTAGTGATACTGCCTCAGAAACCCAAGGAGGGGTCACTATGAGTGGGTCGGACTTGAGGGCACATAACAACAACAACAGGAAATGGCTAGTCAAAAGTTAATCTGTTAAAGGAGGGGGTGTTCTTGTTGGCCTAGTCAATGTAAATCTACAGACAACCCATATAGAGCACAAAATTTTGTATACAGTAAGCCCTGGGTTACAAACACCTGATTTATAGACAACTTGTACTTGTCCTTTAATGTTATGTAAATGTGCCCTCACTTTGAAATGTCTGAACCCCTAATTGCAACACATTCATCACAATCACCTTCATTTGCTGCACGTGCAGCTTTTAAATCATCGAAAAGGCTTTGAACCCTTTCTTGCACAAAAATAAAGCTAAATAAGAACTGCATGGACCTCTTCTGACATATCTACAAATATGATTTACAAAGTGATTTTGTTCATAACCTGAGGACTGTTTGTACTCTAATCATGGATAGTGACCTCTACCCTCCTACATCCTTCACATTGAAATTACTGCATTTTATTTAGTAAGAAAAGGTGCTTATTCATTGTTTCTTGAGGCTTTAAAAGTGAGAAGTCCTATAGTAATTACTTGGTGTGTAATTTGTGTGGGTAGAGTAATGGAATGCCATCACTGTAAAGCCATTTGGCCACAAAGACAGACACTTAAAGTGCATGGATCAGTTGAAATCCTTGAACCCACCATGGACTTGGTATGTGCACATTAAGTATTTTGAATTGGCTTCTTTGGAAATCTATGTAATATAAGCTGATATAAAATGTGCTACAGCTTTTCAGTTGGGATAGCTGATGCCTTTGTCACTATTGTAGAATAAATTCCAAGTAAATGAAAGTGAATTAAGAGATTTTTTTTTTTTACACTGATTTCTGTATCCTAAAAACATTAAAGTTAGGAATTCAAAAGCTTATTTTGACCAAAAATTTGATAAAAATGACATGTAAACTGCTGCTTATATTAGTATACATACACTAAATTCATACTATATTTTTCATCTGTTTGCTATTCACAATTATAAAAAACTTGAACTAAATTAAAAGTGGCTTCAGGCATTTATAACAAAGGGATTTTTCCACTTTTTAAATGAACTTTGTGATTTCTCTCACTTCGTTATCTAACCATTGGCATGGTATAAACCACAGTGAATAGGCATTTTTTTCATTGGCTGGATTTTACATTGTCTCATTAAAATTTGCTTAAAAATAAAATATGAAGAAATGTTTGCACACTAAGTAAGCAATGCTTTATGGTCAAAAGGATATTGGTTTAAATAAAGTATTGATCTTAATAAGTGTGGCATTTGAAGAGCTTTAAAAATAATCCAGTGAATTTAGGAGTTAGTTCAGACATGCAACTGAACAATTTATTAAATAATTGTATAAATGAGAGAGATTAAGGGTTCTACAATTGTTTCCCTCAATCTGTGGAATGTTTAGGTTTATAGACCATGCTAATAACTATTGACACTTGCTGCATGTCAGGGAGCCTTGCAGTGGTTAAAGCGCTTGGCCACTAACTGAAAGGTGGGCAGTTTGAATCCACCTTCCACTCCATGAGAGAAATGTGGCAGTGGTAATCTGCTTCCACAAAGATTGATAGCCTTGGAAACCCTTAGGCAGTTCTGCTATGTCCTATATGATTGCTATGAGTTGGAAAGCACTGGGTTTTGGTTTTTACTAAGTGCCACGCACTGTTCTTGACACTGAGAATAGCTGCAGACAAAGTACATGCTCTCAGGGAGCTTACATTCTATCCTAATACTTTTTAATACTTTATTATACCAGATTACCTTCTAGAACACAGGCTGATTGGCAGATAAAGTAAGGAGGTAATCATTTTTGGAAACGTCTGTGCTTCTCTATTCCTGATCCCGCCCCCCCACCCCCCCCTTTATGGGAGCTCTGGTGGGGAGCGCCTAAAGCATTTGACTGCTTAACCAGAAGGCTGGCGATTGAAACCCACCAACCACTCCTCGGAAGACGGTTGGGCAATCTACTTTTGTAGTTGATACTGCCTCGGAAACCCAAGTAGGGGTCGCTATGAGTCGGATCCGACTCCACGGTAGTGAGTTTGGATTTGGTTTTGATATCTGTTATACTTAGCAAAAGATTCCTTTGCTCTATTACAGTTAGCAAAGGCCACCTCTGATTAAAACATGATTTGGTATGTTGGCAATCCAGTGGCGTACCAGTCAGGTTTGGATCATCTTGGGAGACCCTAAGACTGTACATGTGTTGATTCCCTATACACACGAGGCACACAGGTTACCAAGAAGATGGTGCGTTTCTAATGCGCGGCGAGCTGAGTAGTTTTAGTTCGCCTTAAGGATAAATTTAAGCCCCTTTCGTGGATAGAGTGAGTGAAAGGTCAGATAATTAGAATCTGGTGTTTAGGCCGAAGGCTGCTTAAATACGCTCTTTATGAATTGCTTTTGGGTTTTTGGACACAACCGAGAAAAATGAAGGCGCTCTGGTAGCATCTGGCTGTTAACCAGAAGGTTGGTGGTTCAAACCCACCAGCCACTCCGCGGAAGGCAAGACTGGGCAATCTACTTCCGTAAAGGTTTACCGCCTCCGAAACCCAATGGGGGGGCTCTATGAGTCGGAATCCACTCGATGGCAGTGCGTTTCGGTTTTGGAAGAAAAAATACAGCTAGCAAAAAAAACTTTTTCGTAAGCCGCTAGAAAAAGAAAAAAAAAACACCATTTAATCAGTTCAAATAACACGCTTGTAAAGGAATGAGAGCTTCAATCACTTGGGAGGAGAAAAAAACTGTAAGGTATATACATACACAGAAAAACAGATGCTGCCCAGCCACTCAATGAGTCCCACTTGGTATTGGTACGTTCCTTAGGCGCCAGTCTGCTTTATGGCCATTTGCCACGATACGGACTAAGATTCACCACCAGCATGCACAAAAAACACAGGTCTTATTATCCACTACCGCGAGCAGAGGCGCAGTTGCGGACCCGCGTGAGGACAGAGACGTCCCTGCGTCATGACGCTTTCCGCTTTCGCGAGCTCCGCCCTTTGCCGCCCCGCCGCAAGTTTAAAAGTTGTTTCTGAGGCGACAACGGTGACCACAGGGAGTCATGGAACCTAGAGTGGTCAAACCCCCTGGTCAGGATCTCGCAGTGGAACGTCTCAAAAACCTCTACGGACTAAGGGGCAGCTTCCACGAAGAGGTGAGGCCGTCGCCTCTTTCTCCTCCTTCCTATTCCATAACCCCAGTCCTTTCTTTTTCATTCTCTTACCAACGGTGGCTGCGCCTCTCAGGCTCCCGAGCTCCTGCGGTCTTGAGAAAGCACTCCTTTAGAGTTAGCAGTGTGGTGTCCTGTTCAGCTTACCAGCACTGCCTCTGTGCGTTTGGGAAACAAGGCTGCTCTCGACTTTGGATCGGAGTACCTGGGGCCTCTTCCTCTAGGTGGTTTCAGATGAATGGTGGAAGACCAAAGGGCAGGTATCTAGCATCCAGCTCTCTCAAGGCACCTGAAAGTTTAGAAAAAGAGTTGTGCATGCCCTTGGCAGAAGAATCGTTTAGTGAAACTTAGCTGTGGGAGGAGAGTAACGTGAGGCCAAGGATGTGTAAATGTCTCTGTGTTTGGCAGATAAATGTCACATATATAGGAGAAACAAATTTCCAGTGGAAAAAAAATTCTCTCATTCACTGTAACTTTTATCTGTATTTTATTTTATTTTTGTTGTTGAGAATATAGACAGCAAAACACACACCAATTCAACAGTTTCTCATTGAATGATTTAGTGACATTGATTACATTTTTCGAGTTGTGCAACTATTCTCACCTTTTCATTAACCTAAACACACTGTTCCCTAAGGTTCTTGTCTAATATTTCCAGTTGCTATTAGCAATCTGATCCCATATAGATAGCTTTTTTAAAAGAGCCTCAAGGGAGACCATTTTCCCTACCATAACTTTTGAAGGTTTATGTTTATACAGAGTTTAATAAGGCATTGTAGAAAGTATTTTTGACATTTTATTTACCACAGTAAATGAATACTTGAATGATTTAAAATAAAATTCTTTATTTTGAACTTATTTAAAATTTACAGTAAAGTTGCAAGAAAAGTACAATAAACTCCCTTGTACCCTTCATTTGGATTCACCAGTTTAACATTTTGCTGTATTTGTTTTGCTATTCTCTCCCTTATTTTTTCCTGAACAATTTGAGGTGATATGCAAGTACCGTTCCCCTTTGCCTCTATATATTAATATTGCAGTGTGTTTTTCCTAAAAATAAGGACATTGTCTTAGATAATCACAATAAATTTATCAGAAAATTTAACACCGATACAATACTTTTGTGTAATTCATAGTCCAGATTTCACCAGTTATCTCAATAATTTTGTTTGTAGAAATTTTTTTGTAGTCCAGATCTAATCCAAGAATGCACACTGCATTTTGTTGCCTCTTTTGTTGCTTTTAATCTGGAACATACTCTAAGCCTTTGCCTCTTTCTCATAACATTGATATTTTTGAAGAATATAGGAGCTCTGGTGGTGCAGTGCCTAAGGCATTTGACTGCTAACCAGAAGGTTGGTGATCCACCAGCAGCTCAGCAGAAGGAGTTTATGTTAAGATTTACTGACTCGGAAATCCAAAGGAGGTTGCTATGAGTCAGAATCTACTCAGTGGCAGTGAGGTTTTTTTTTTTTTTTTTAAATGTGATTTGGGTGAAAATATACAGAGCAAATTCATTTTCCAAACAGCATTTCACATACACTTTGTCTCATGATATTGACTGCAGTTTCCCTCAATGTAACAGCTTTCTTCCCACTTCCTCCCCATAGTTACCTCTTCCCTGTGCCCTTCCCTCCCATGCACTCCTGTCCCTGGAAGTGTCTCCCTGTGCATCCACTGCCCTTCTGTTCTCCCATGATTGAATGATCTCTCCAAGGAGTGTATATACCTAATGTAAACATTCAGCTCATATGTTTGTCTTTTGTTTGGCTGGAAGCCACAGGAGTGGGTTAAATTCCAGACCTGAAGGGCAGCTGGGGACCATAGTCTCAGTGCTTCCATCAGGGTCTATCAGACCAGCAAAGCTGGTCCTTTATTTTATGATTTTGAGTTTTTTTTCCATATTGTTATCCCACTCTACCCAGGGTCAGCTACATGGAACCCCTCCTGGATGGTTGACTGTGGTAGGCAGGCACCATCTAGTTCTTCTGGTCTCACAGTCATATAGGCTGAGGATCACATGGTGTACCAGTCCCTTGGGCTAATTGTTTCCATACGTCTTTGGTTTTCTTCATTCTTCTTTGCTCTGGACGAGGAGAGACCCATTGTTGCACCTAGATGACTGCTTGCAAACTTTTAAGATACCAGTCACTACTCACCAAAGTAAGATGTGGAACAATGTTTTTGTGTAGTATGTTATGCCAGTTGAGCCTGATGTCCCCTGCAACCATGGTCCCAAGCCCACAGGTTCAACTACTCACGCCCTCTGTGTAGCTGGCTGTGGCCAAGAAGTCATCACAGTCTTGTCCCTTGTCAACTCTACTATATACCTGGACATTCTTACTGAACATACAAATAAGCTTGTAGATACAACATCTGCCATCCTGTACGTGGTCATGGACACATTACCCCCTGCCTGCACATACTTGATAGTTCATCCTGTTCATCTATCTATCCACCTTAGATCAATGTTTGCCATCACTGACAATGCAGTACTGTATGTGCACAAGAGTTCATCTTTGTTGTCTATACCTCCCATGCACCTCTCTGTGTCTTCCTCTTCCTCAGGCCACTGTGTTGATCACTCACATTTGGTGCATTGCCCTTCCTTTCACACCCAAATCAATACTTGTCTCTACCTTTCTAGTATTGTTTCCTCCCCTCCCTCTCCACCCTTGGTAAACAACAAAGAAAGTTTTGTTCCATACGTAAACCTTTCCTTGACTTTTCACAGTAGTGGACTAATACAATATTTATCCTTCTGTGATTGACTTATTTCACTCAGCATAATGTCTTCCAAGTTCATCCACATTATGTGGTGTTTTGCAGGTTCTGCGTTATTCTTTAGGGTTGCGTAGTATTCTATTGTGTGTATGTACCATAGTTTAGTTATCCATTCTTCTGTTGTTAGGCACCTAGGTTGTTTCCATCTTTTTGCTATTGTAAATAGTGCTGCAATGAACATGAGTGTGCCTATATCTGTTCTTGTCCTGGCTTTCACATCTTTAGGATATATAGCTAGTAATGGAATGGCTGGGTCAAATGGTATTTCTAATTCCAACTTTTTAAGGAATCTCCATACTGCTTTGCACAGTGGTTGTATCAGTCCCACCAGCAGTGTATGACAGACAGTTCTAATCTCTCCACCTCCTCACCAGCATGTTATTTTCTAT